AGAGCTGGATGAACACAGCAGGCCAAGCAGCGTCATAGGAGCAGGAAGGCTGACGTTTCGGGCCTAGTTCTGATGAAGACAGCCTTCCTGCTCCTATGATGCTGCTTGGCCTGCTGTGTTCATCCAGCTCTGCACCTCTACATACTAACCTTTTGTGATTCATGCACAAAGATGCCCAGATCCCTCTGCAGCTCAGAACTCTGCAATCTCTTACCTTTTTAGATAATGTACTGGTTCTTTATTGTTCCTGTGAAACTGGACCATTTCAAATTTTCCCACATTACACTCCATGAACCACATCTATGCTCAATCACTTAACGTGTCAATGTCTTTTTGTAACATCTTTATTTCCTTTTCACAACTTACTTTCCTACTTATCTTTGTATTGTCAGCAACCTTGGCAACCATACATTGCATCCCTTCATCTAAGTCATTTGTATAAATTGTAATCAGTAGAGATCCTAGCAGTGATCTCTGTGGCTCACTACACATTAGCTAACATGCCTGTAGTGTCTTGCTTTGTGTCTTCCTCTCTTTTCGAATAAAACAGTTGCATTCGTAAATCTTCCAATCTAACGGAACCATCCTCGAGGTAAGGGAAAAAATAAAACCAATGAATCAACTGTCTCACTGGCCACTTCTTTGAAGACCCTGGAATGAAGTCCATTGGGGTCTGTGCACTTATCAGCCCACAGCTCCAGCAATTTACTCAATACCACTTCTCTGGTAATTCTGATTTTCTTGAGATCCTCTTTCCCTTCCATTTCCTGATTAGTTGCTGCTTTTTGATGTTACTTGTAACTTACATAGTAAAGACTGATGCAAAATATCTTCAAGATTTACCAGAGTTCAATTCATCTGCCATTTCCTTATTTCCACTATTAATTTTCCAGTCTGACTTTCTATAGGACCAACAGTTAGTTGACCCTTTTCTTTAAATATTAATAGAAACTCTTACCATCTGTTTTATATTTCTAGATCACTTTCTCTTGAATTCTTAATTTGTCCCCCATTAATGTTTGGTCGTTGCTCGTTTTATATTCTGTCCAATCTTCTGACTTACCGGCTGTCTTGCACCATTGTATGCTTTATCTTAAAGTTAGATACTATCTTTAATCTTTCTGGTTAATCACGGATGGTGGGTCCATTCCTTGGAATATTTCTTACTCGTTGGAGTGTAAGTATTCTGTATATTCTAGAATATCATCTTTGCTGTCTGCCACTACATCTCTATCAACCCATACTTCAGTCTAATTTGCCACTTCACTTCTGCTTTCATACCTACATAATTGCCCTGATTTACATTTTAAAACTATAGACTCGGGGATCCCCTGCTGTCTTCCTCACACTGAATGTAAAATTCCATCACCTACACTACCTTTGGGTGCCTGCACTATAAGGTCAATAATTAATCCTATTTCATTGCACAATAATTAGGGGAAGGTGGTGGCACAGTAGAAATGTCACTGCTGTAGTAATCCAGAGGCCCAGGTGAATTCTTTTTCTGTGCGGTGAAATGAGAATGACACACGTGTTTGTGTTTTTGTGTTTCTGTCTTTGCTGTATCAGCTATTTACGTAAGCTTTTTGTTTGAAGTGTCCTTCGTCTATTAGTTCATGTTTAATGTATGTTGGCTCTCATTCAAACTTTAAAGTAAAATGGAATCTTTTGATAATTTCTTCATCTTCCGTACATTTGATTATTTTAGTTTATGGTCTCCCCAGTGAGATTGGAACAAAATCTTGGTAAGACATGTAAAATGCATTTTCTGGCACCATTTAAAGCATATTTGAAAAATAGGCAATTGAGTGAAAGTCTTTTAAGTATTTGAACATCATGGTCAAAATTGCTTTAAACAGTACAGCAAAAGTCTTAATGTTTTAGCAAGCAGGGTGAAATTAGACCTGCGTGTGTAATAAAATTAGTTCTTCTGTCCAAAAGGATTAACAACTATGAAGTTGTTGCCCTACATGTATTAATAATCTTCCGTTGATTAAATGTCCCAGGATTGTGTGGAATGTTTAATGTTGTAAAATACGTCTGTGAAATAAGGTGGTAAAATCTTATCTGAATTTGACAGTTTTCCATTTAAATATGTAAATCTGTTTATTTAAACTTTCAAGGGTGTACATTGGATTTGGTTAGAATTGCCATCTCTTTACAATTTAATATTTTAAAAAGTCAATTCTGTTTCTTTGGCTTGAAGAGGTGAAAGTTAATACTCAGCTAGGCAACAACAGCTCAGGGGTAGTACTTTTGCCTTCAGTCATACAGTCTCAGATTCAGCCCCATTCCCAAGACATGATCCAGGCTAATGTGCAGCATTGAGGGAGGTGCTATCTTTGAAATGTTAAATTTAAAGGCCCCATCATCCCTCCTGGATAACTTAAAGATCCCTCAGATTTTTAAGCAGAGCAGTTGGGTTCTTCCAGCCAGAGTCCTGGTCCAGTATTTAACCAATCAATGCCACTGAAGCAGGTTATCTGATCCTTTATTGTTTTGCATATTCTGGGACATTGCTGGATACAAATGAGTGGGAGGATAAATATTGATCATAATGGTGTCAGAGAGAAGACTTGCAGTACTGGAGGAGGCTTCAATAAAATAATTAATCATAGAATCCCAACAGTGCAGAAAGAGGCCACTAGGCCCACGAAATCTGCACTGACCCTCTGAAGAGCATTTCACCGCCACACTTACCCCATAACTCTGCATTTCCCATGGCTAATCCACCTAGTTTGCACATCCCTGGACACCATGGGCAATTTAGCATGGCCAATGCACCTAACCTGCACGTCTTTGGACTGTGGGAGGAAACTGGAGCACTTGGCAGAAACTGATGCAGACATGGGGAGAATGTGCAAACTCCACACAGTCACCCAAGGCTGGAATTGTACCTGGGTCCCTGGCGCTGTAAGGCAGCAAGTCTAACCACTGTCCTGCCCATTTAATGTTCCTGGTGTCCATGGAAACATTTGCCAATCAAATCAAATGTGGTTGATAGTACCTAACCCAAGATAAGTGATTCAGCCACACTATTGAAAGGAAAAGTTTGCAGTGGATAGGAGTGGGGGACCTGGCACATGTCATCTCCCTCTACAGTTCAGAGCTTTTGGATCTACCTGAGGGGAAAGACAGTGGACCTCTGGTTTATAGCCTCATCCGAAGACTGTGCCTTTGATTGTGCAGCACTTTTACTGAAGTGTGAGTGTCTGTCTCAATTAATTATGTGCTCAAGCCTCTAGAATGGGAGTTGAAACTCCTGCCTTTCTCTAACACAAGCACTGTATTTGCTCACTGGGCTGTAGGTGATGTCCTATGTTAAAGTTTAGCAATAGTTTTAGAGAATTCCCATTCTTTGAAATGTTTTTTTTTTCAAATTTGCAAGCAAAAGAATTTAGATTTTACTTGTGTGTCAAATTGAATTTTTCTTTACCTTGCAGGTTCAGCCTGGGCCTCCACCCTGCCCTGTCTTTTATCCCGAGAAGCAGGAAATACCTGTTCCACCCGATGGACTCTGGGTGCTCCGATTCCCTTATGCCTACGTCACAGATCGTGGACCCTGCTTCCCCCCGAAAGAGAACCAGCCATTGATGAGTTACCGAGTACTACGGGGGATCCTTAAGGCTATCCCACAGTGATGATGTTTTCCTGATTATGTGATGCTTTTTTTGAGAAAGAAAGAGTTCTTGTTTTCCCTCACCGCTGTCTTCGCGGAAAGGTGGGAAGGATCATTTGTTGGCGTGACCCAAGCCACAGCTTAGGGTTGAACCCGAAAGGCCTCAGTGATATGAATCCTCTTGTTGCCTGAACAGGCCGGCAGTGTAAACAGAATCATTTAGCAAAAGCAGACATACCTTTTCCTGACTGAAAGGGTTAATGATTCCAAGCCCAGGGGCACTTCCCATTACAGTATTCCGCATACTCTTTGTGCATATTCTGGTAAAATGAGGTGCAATCTGTCTTGGTCAAACTTCCGCCTGGTGTATGTGAAGAAACATAAGCATTTTGCATTTCTAGGAAAGTGTCTTCTTCCTGTCATATGACACAAACCATGAACCCAGTTGTGTCACTCAATGGGTGATGATGCAGCAATTAGTCAGACATAAAGGGATAGCTCAATGATTTTAAACAAAGGCCATGGTTTTGAGTAAGGATCCTGTATACTACTACTGAGAAATCTTAAGCCAAATCCTGATTGCACTGCAAAACCTCCCTTTATTGGTTGGCCATTTGGTAGCCTTTACCTGGGTCTATAAAAGTGGGTTTGGGTAGCAGTGAATACTGAAATTTTTGTCTGGGATTCTCTTCTAAGTACATTGTAGTGGTGCTGCAAGTTACTAAAAATTATTTTGTCAGCTCACTGGCTCCTGTAGTCTGACCTGATGCACCCTAACTGGCAATTTGTGCTGAATAAGGAAGAGTTAACTGTTGTTATGGTTTTACATTGGGTTTGTGCCCATGTAGACATTAGCTCAGAATGGTAAATTATATTTGAATGTTTACAATATAGTAGCTTCTAATTAAATGGTCCAGCAGCAAACAATATGTCCCTTGGGGCTTTTAAGTACTTTGCTATCAGCTGTTGCTGGGTGAGTTTGCTAAATGCAGTGGTGAGACTTCTTGTGAAAAAAAGTAGTGGTTAAACCGTCTTGCTGGCTGGTGGATAAATGTGCACTCCAATACAGTGCCAAATCAGACATAACAAAAGCTTCCAGATTTAATGTCCTGATCTTTTCTAACTTGGAATGTCAGCCAACTCGATGTTGGAGGGCAGGGATGGGAAATAGACTCTTTCTGTCTCTCTGGTGACTGTGCTGGAATGTGCCCAGCCCAGCTATGGGCATTGAGAATAAGGTTGGGCTTAGTTGTAGCGGCCCCATGGACAAATAGCCTCACTGTCTGACTTGACATGAAGAATGGTACTTAAGTGAGATCCAGAGAGCTTTGGCCTCATGTGGAGGAATATCCCAGCACAAGGCAGCAGCTTCAGAAAAGAAAGGATAAAATCGGGTGAAGGGAATGGCTTTGGAGTTAGTCCCAGCAGAGGGCTAAAGAACATGTTTAATTAGATAGCATCATTTTCTTCACTTTCATTAGTTCCTAACACATAACGTTCTCCTTCATAAACAGTTGTGTGAAGTGTTTGAGTATCTTGAGGCAGAATTCCTCAGGATGACATTGGGTCCAACAGCATCTATCAGTTCTCCCTGATAGAGCAGTAACATGTAACTTTTACAAAACAATAACTCAAAGTGTTTGAACTGGGCTTTTGATGTGTGAAATTAGTTGAAGCTTGGGTCAGGTGGGAAGCATTTAGGCACTGAAATCAGTCACAGCCAAGTCACTGATGGACAACACAAATTTGTTGTCAGTGAATAATGATCAGCCATCAGAGTGACAGCTTTCTTTGGGCCCGTGGATTCAGATCAGTTTCACATGCCCTACTGTGGTGGGCTGATCATTGAGCTGATGATGAAGCTGTCTGGTGTAGTAGCAATTGTGCCACTCTCTTCACACCCCAAGAAGTGTGGTGTCAGTCTAACTATCAATTCTGCCAGCAGTGTTTTGTGATTAGTTTTTTTTTTCTCTTATTTTCAAAAGGTCCTTTGCAGTCTTATGTTTTGGAATGAGATTTACCCTTGAGAATATGGTGGGGCATCTGGTCTGGTCACCTACTTTTGTGACCTAAAGAAGTCCAAATCTGGAAGTGGTTGTGTGGAAGGAGGTTGATCAGTTGGAGGCCTGGGGAGGGGAGTGGATTTCAGTTACTGAGGTTGATGCGCGTGTTAAGTGCAGTCTAAGATAATTTTAGATGTGTGATATCCTTGGTGTTGAAGATTTAATGTTGACACAACCTCCTAATAGATGTAAAGTATGCCTCACAGCTTGAGATACCAATTCTAATTTTGCAAACCCCAAATTAAAATATAACTACAAAAATCTGCAAGTCCAGTGCCTTTTTATTTAATGTAATATCTGTTCTTCATTGAGATGAATCTGATATTCCAGCTGCTGACCCCTTTCAAAGGAGATTGAATTAAGTCTTTGTTTTCTTTATTTGTTCATGAGAAATGGGCATTTCTAGCAAGGCCAGCATTTATTGCCAATCCCTGGTTGCCCTTGAGAAGGTGGAATTGAGCTGCTGCCTTGAACCATTCCAGTTCTTGGAGTGTAGGGACACCCTGCTGTCAGGGAGGGAGTTCCAGGTTTTTGATACAGTGAGAGTAAAGGAATGACAATATAATTCCAAATCAGGATGGCTTGAAGGGGAACTTAACTCTGGGTCACTGGTGCTTTTGTGCAGTGCAATGCACAGTGACGGAACTTGGAATTGCCTCATTAGAAATGTACAGTATCAGAGAATCTTATGTTTGTTGTCTGATTCAGGTAACCTTGTCTGGTCTAGCACTGGTGAATCTTGAAGAATTTGTGAATATAATCCAAAATACAGAATGGATCATTCAGTGTTTCTTTAATTGATATAGTTTTAATTAAGTAGAATGGCCACTTAATCGTCCATATCATTGCGCCTGTTTTTCTCAGCTCATCTGTGAAATTTTCCTTTGTGTCTTTATTCCAAACATAGGATGCTGAAGATCCTGAGGTGACTTGATAGGAGATGATGTTTCCTTTTATGGGGGATATCTAGAATAAGGGAACACAGTTTAAGAATAGTTATTTTTTCCCACCCTATGATCAATATGCCCTCACTATGATCTGTCTGTACTGCTCATAAACAAAGCTTTTCACTGTACTTAGGTACATTTGACAATAAATCAAATCAAGAATAAGGAGCCTCCCAGTGAAGGCTCAGATGAGGAAAAACATTGTCTCTCAGTAGTTGTCAGTCTATGTAATTCTCTTCCCCCAGGGAACAATAGAGGCTGGATAATTGAATTTACTCAAGGAAAATAGACAAAGGAAACATGGGTTTGGAGGGAGTAGGGGTGTGCTGCCAGTTACGTGGAGTTGAAATAACAATCAGCACAATTGATCTTATCAAATGGCACAGTATGTTCTAAAGGCCAAATAATCTAATCCCGGTTCTAGGTCCTGTGTTCCTATTTCGGTGTTCTCCTGGTCTGTCTCCCATTTTCTGCTCTCCATAAATTTCATCTCATCCACAACTCTACTGTTTGTATTCTAACTCACGTGTCATCTCTGGCATTTGATCCTGATCTGGGAAGAAACCTCAATTTTTAAAATTGTAAACTTTGTTTTTAAATACTTCCATGGCCTCACCCTCTTTTATCACTGTAAACCTCTCCTCTAGGGAGTCAGTGGCCTAATGGTAACATCGCCAGTAATCCAGAGGCTTTTTTAAAACACTTTGAGGACTCTGGAATTTAAATTAAATCAACAAATCTGGAATTGTAAGCTAGTCACAATAACAGCAACCATAGAAACATGAATTATCATTTTAAAAAAAACACCCGGTTAACTTACACATATTAAGGGAAGAAAATCCGCCATCCTTACTTGGTATGGCCTTGACATGACTCCAGACCCACAGCAACGTGGTGGATTCCTAATTATGCTCTGAAAATGGCCTGATAAGCCACTCGAGGGTCATTAACAATGGGCAACAAATGCTAGCCTTGTCTGTGAGGCCCTCGTCCCATGAACTATGCTGTGTCAACTATGTGTTTCTCTCATTCTCGCCTCTTGTGTGTCACTGATATCTGTTAGCCCACCACTGGTTGAAGGCTTCAGCAAACTAGAGACTCAGTTGTAGGACTCCTTCCACAAACCTCACCACTCCTTTCACTTATCATTTTTGCAAAACTGATTAAAACGTACCTCTTTGATCAGGTGTTTAATCACCTGTCTGACTCACTACTATATTCTTGTTGAATTGTATTTCTGTGGAGCTGTTTACTACGTTGAATGTGTTTTATAAAAGTAAATTGTGCTTTTAGTTGTGAATTTTGAGAGGCATCTTGTTCATTTGCTACCCCTATACATTGCTGTGCAGTGTTACGGAGATCTGCACTAGCCGAGGTGTTATCTTTCAACTGAATTCTTAAACTGAGGCCCCGTCTGCCGCTCAGATGGCTGTAGCAGATCCCTTGGCCCTATTTTTGAATGAGAGTAAGGACGTAATCCCTGCTGTCCATTATTTATCACCCATTTAAAAGCACAAAATCAATGAAGACAATAAGGACTGCAGATGCTGGAAGCCACCACCACCACCAAAAGGTATTTCCCTCCCCACCCCTGTCCACTTTCCACAGGGACTGTTCATTCCATGACTCCCTTATCAGCTCTACACTGCCCACCAACTTCACCACCACATCTGGTACCTTTCCCTGCAATTGCAGGAGGTGCTGCAAATGCCCCAACACCTCCCCTCTCACCTCCATCCAAGGCCCCAAACAATCCTTCCTAATCCAGCAGAGATTCACCTGCACTTCATCTAACCTAATCCACAGTATCTGTTGCTCCCGATGTGGTCTCTATACTGGGGAGACCAAACACAGACTTGGAGACCAGTTCGGGGAGAATCTGCACTCTGCGTGCAACAACTAATCTGGCCTTCTGGTTGTCATCCATTTTAATTCCCCCCCTCCTCTCCCCTGATGACATGTCCATCCTTGGCCCCCTTAACTGTCAGAGTGAGGCCAAATGTAAACAGAAGGAACAACCGCTGATGTTTTGCCTTGGGAGCTTACAGCCTGATTTCACCAGCTTCAAAATCCCTCCACCCCCAGCCTTATCTCACGTCCAGCCTTCCCCCTCCTGATATGACCGAACCTGTCCATTTTCCTACTTACCTATCCACTCCACCCTTCCCACTGACTGATTACAATAACCCCCTACCTGCATCCACCTATCACCATCTCTCCTACCCTTTCCCTAGTTCCACCCCCCCTCCCTCTATTTATTTCTGGGCTCCCCTCCCCAGTCCACTGAAGGGTTTCAGCCCAAAACATTGACTTACCTGCTGTTCGGATGCTGTCTGACTGGCTGTGCTTTTCCAACACAAAATCATTATCTGGCCATTATTGTATGGATGCTTGCGGGAGTCTACTATGCACAAAATTAGCTGCCAGGTTTCCTATGGTGCAACTCCACAAGCTTATTTTTATCCAAGATTACAGTTTAATCATATACTTTGTAAAATACATTATAATACATTTTGATTTGCAAATTAGAGAGAGTACAATGAACTTCAACTGGTCACCATGCAGCTGGACTCACTCTTGAGTGCCTCAATACATTAGTAGTACTCTTAATGTTTTATGATGTACATTCCAACTCAGACATCCAGCCTGCAGGCAAAACATTTCTAATTGAATATTATAAAAAAAGTACAATAGAAATAAACTTTTCTCCCTGCATTATGTTACACTCTGGAGTACTTCAAGACAAATCCAGTGCTCTTGATGTTCATCATGCAACCCTCCTTTGTTAGACACATAGCCAAGGTGTTCTCTATGGTTTACAACCCTATGTACACTATGGCTGAAAGGCCTTAATCAATGATCTTTCTCCACTGTACCTCTGCGGTGGCTGCCCCAGATATTTGTGTGTATCTCAGCACATAGCCCTTGACCTTGAAATGAGCCAGGTCTGTGACACTCAGAAGAGAACAAACCAAAGAGCAAATTTCACTACCTATGCCTGGAAGGCCATCAATTTAATGTTTGTCTCACAGTGCATCTCTGGTAATAGCCCATAGAACAGAGAGTCCCATTGTCGTGGAGCTGCTCGGAGTGAACCTCAACAAAAGCCACCGCATCTCTCTCCAGATCTTCTTCCCCATCACAGCCACCTCGATGACATTATGCAGAGTAAGTGAAACTCCAGGCATCTATGGAAAGGCTCTTTCTCACCAGCAGCCATGCTACATCTTGTGTTTGTTTGAAAGTTTTGGCGTTGAGGTATTCTGTCAAGTGACTTTGACAATCTGCTCAGGATCCAATAGGATCTATTTCCTCCTTTTCCCATAGTGCCTCAAGTTACTTGCAGACCTCTGTCTGATAGAATTATAGTCAGAAGTATTTTTCGGTGTTAACTTTTCCACAAAGAACAGGTAAAATATGACCTATCTACTTGGTGCAATCCATTACAACATGCCAGGCACATTCCTTAATGACACTGGGGCAGACAGAATGTCGATACATAATGACACTTGCTTTTTATACTAAGGATCCATGCACAATGTGGGTGCAGCTGCACATGAAGGCAGCCATCTGGAAGAGGGCCATGTTGGGTACATTTTCCTTCCCCTTTATCTCAACTGCACTGAAAAACGCATTCCAAAAATATACCTTATTCACTATTTTTTAACATTGTTATATTCAAATTTAAATATTTTGTGAAATGTAATAAAATTTAATTTGTCTCCATACAGCATGTTTTGGGTGTTTCAATAATAGTCTTTAAATTTGTAAAATACATGTGTTAGGCATGTAGGACAACTACACTCAACCTGTTTTCTTACAAAAATACACTTTATCCATAAAATTTGTTAAGAAAACAAATTTTGATTGAAATATTACACTCAAAACTACTTTTATTGGTTATAATAAATGCAAGGTTCAGATGACACTGCATATCAGTGTCATTATTTTCAGAGGCTACTGATTTTTTTGTGTGTTGAGCAGATATTTTGCTACAGTTGCATCTCTGATCTTTTACAGCTCAGTGACCTCTAGGTCGTTGAAAGTGCAAACTGCACCTGGGAACAGCAAGGGTTGTCTGGAGCTGATTTGGTTGTCACTTCGAATGGAGCCTTTAACAGGTCAGCTCACACCCAAGTATTAAAATACTCCAGATTCAGAAAAGTGTAGGTAATATGCAGTGGCCCTGCTAACAACTTAAAGGGGACACTTACAGAGTGAATATTTCCTGGTCAGAGATGTCTGCATTTATATCTCAGAATATTTGTCATATATAATTAGTACATTTCACTGCCTGGGACGGTAGTTGAGGCAGGAAATCTCAGAACCTTTAAAAATTACTTGGATAAGACCTTGAAGTATCATAACATTCAAGGCAAGAACTGGAAAATGAGACTAATGTAGGTATATTTTTGGTGGTGCAGGCTTGATGGGCCAAAGGGCTTTTTCTGTACTGCATGATTCAATGAAAATGCTGGAAACCCTCAGCAAGTTGGGTAACGTCTGTGGAAGGAAATTCAAGAGTTCAGGCTTGAATTTTATAGCCCAGAAAGAGGCCCTTTGGCCTATTGTCTGTGACCTTTCTGCAGAATACTAGCAGAAAACACAAAATGCAAATGTTGGAAATTTCATATAAAAAAACTCAAAAATGCTTCAAACACTGAAGATTTTTGAAAATCAGAACAAAGAACTGACTTAACATTTTAACATCATCTGTGGGGAGAAAAGTGTTAATCTTTTAAGTCTGACTATTCTGCAGAGTCCAACTGAGAATATCAAGCTTTTCTGATTTTCAGCACTTTACTTTTATATTTTTACTGAAAGGAAGAAGCCGAGACTGTTACTTTGTGTCTTGATTTTGATGAAATGGATCTTAGATCTGTTAAAAATTCAATATAGTTATCACCTGGAAATTCTCTGTATGTTATAGGAAAGGCATTCTGCAATGTTACACTGCTACTAATAGAATCCTTGAAGTGTGGAAACAGACCATTTGGCCCAACAGGTCCACACCAACTCTCAGAAGACCATCCTATCCAGACTCACTCCTCTACCTGTAACCCTGCATTTCCCATGGCTAATCCACCTAACCAATAGATCCCTGGACACTATGGCAATTTAGCAAGGCCCATACACCTAACGTGCACATCTTTGGCTGTGGGAGGAAACGCATGTAGACACAGGGAGAATGTGCAAACTCCACACAGACAAGTGCCTGAGGCTGGAATTGAACCAGGGTCCCTGGTGCTGTAAGGTAGCAGTGCTAACCACTGAGCTACCATGCTACCATGCCACCACACCCCTCCCAAAAATAAAATGTACACTGGCTTTTTTTTCTGTCTTTTGTTCAGAAAAGTCTAGGATGGAAAGTCTGCCTATAAATTGTCATTGAAGCTATGTTTACATGAGATTTGGTCAGTTTCTTTTAAAATCCCCATTGTGTAGGTTAAAAGTATAGCCTCATATTACCCATTGTGTGCAATATACAAGATCAGTATCAAACAAAGTACAAACTTTTGAAATAAAAAGCAGATTTGAAGTAAGAAAACAGAAGTGTCCGAATTCATTGAAGATGTGTGAAAATCTGAACAAAGAACCGATAACATTTTAGCCTTGCTCAGGCCCCAAGGGACTTGCTTAATATGTAATTTCATGGTGTATTTTTATTTCTGTTGCTCAGCATCACCTTTAAGCAGTGTGTATGTACAGTATTGCCAATTGTAGCTCGTATTTTTTGTGTGTGGATTTTTTTTGTTCATTTGTGGGACATGGACATCACTGGCTGCCAGTAGTTATTGCTTGTTGCCCTTGAGAACGTGGTGGTGAGCTACCTGCTTGAACCACTGCAGTCCACGTACTGAAGATAGACTTCATGTGGATCGTGTGAGATTAGTCATAGAATCATACAGACCCTTCAACCAATCAAGTCTGTAACCTTGTCTCAGCTTTTCACTTGGCCATAGTGATTGGAAACACTCCAGGTCATTTTGACCCTCTTCTCCAGGATTGCCAGAAAGCACAGTTGTTGCTGTTTATTTAGCTGGCCACTTAGCTCAGTTGGCTGGACAGCTGGTTTGCAATTTGGAGCAAGGCCCACAGCATGCATGCAATTCCTATCACTGGACGAGGTTACAGTGAAGATGCAATCCTCTCAACAACTCACCTCACCGGAGGTATGGTGACCTTCAAGTTAAGCTCTCTGTAATGAGCGAGCAGCCCTCTGGGACTATGGCGACTTTACCTTTTAGTTTAATAAAAGGACTGTGGATGCTGAAGATCTGAAACAAAAACAGAAAGTGCTAGAGAAACTCAGCAGATCCAGTAGCATGTGTGCAGAGAACAAAACAGTTAATGTTTTAAGTCTAGTAACTTCTCCAGAACTGGATGCAAAACGTTAATCTTCTCTTCAGGTGTGTTGCCATACCCGTTGAGTTTCCCCAGTGATTTGTTTTTGTTACCTTTGACTTCATTTTGCGTACTTGGGGAGTTTTGCAAGATCAGAAAGTGCGCTTGTGATCCGCTCATCTCAATATAGCAAAGTCAAAAATTACACTGTAGTCGGAGCTGCGCTTCGAAAGCTTGTGATTTCAAATAAACCTGTTGGACTATAACCTGGTGTCGTGTGATTTCTGACTTTGTCCATCCCAGTCCAACACCGGCACATCATCCTCAAGACGGCACTCAGCAGACGGTCACATTACTTGAGTGAGAGAGACAGATTGCTGCGCAGGCGTAGACTACTTTTATTGTTGCAACATTCTAGGAGGGGGGGTGGGGCCGGCCTGATAGCGCACGCAGCTCATTGGCTGCGCAACAATGGGGAATTATAACAAAAGCAGTGACCAATGGGAACGCGCGCCGGGGTGTTCCTATGCGCAGACGCGGGTACCGGCATACTCCTCCTGATCGTTTCTGGCCCGGGAGCAGTGCAGTTCCGAAGGTAATGTCCTCTCCCCATTCATTTAAGGTACCCGCTTGTCGCCGTGTGTCCTATTTGAAAAAAAAACCGTTGTAACCCTGTGTCCCCTTTAAAGCACACGTTTATTTGTGTGTATCTCTCTATTTAGGGGGAATTGAGTGGAGAGGCTGCCGCTTGAGGAAGAAATGTCAGCGGCGATGTATGTTCTCTCCGCTCTGGGAGGTTATGTGCTCTCCTCGGCTTTGCTCTTCAAGTGCCCGGGGTTGCTGCACAAAAAGAAGAAACAGAGCTTCAGGAGCCGGCATATCTCACACCGCGGAGGTAAGATCAACTGCATCTCTCTCTTTCCTCCCCACCCCGCAACCTGAGTAGATCTTGGTAAGGACTGCGAGGCTCCATCTGCCCTATTAACATTTATGCGGGGAAGGTGCTCATTTCAGGCGTTTTGTTCAATCAGTTGTTACAGCTCCTCTTGTCCAATGACGAGCCTCGTGTGAGTTTTTTTTTCATGGTACGTTACCTTGCGAAAGACTTCGTTTCAAAAGGTTGTCATTTTTCAGACAATATTCTCCCTCACAGCCCTTCCAAATCCCCAGCAACAAACCCTGTTTTCCCCAGGCAAGTATACTTTGTATCCCGGGGGAATGAAGAACCCTTTCCCCGTGTCCCGAAGCTGCAAACTGTGGTTTACGCCGTCACAGCCAGCTGTTTCTTTCTCACAATTTATGACATTGGAATATTGATTGACCCCTTACTTTTTCCCTCTCATTTTTCTCATTCGTCTCCAGGCAGCGGTCGACGCCACGAACCTATTGAGAGATTGTGAAACCATACAACCTGTCCCCAGACTGTGTGCACAGTTTGCACCGTCATAGTGTGTACCCAAACATAATCCAAGGGTGATGAGTCAGTTATCAGAGGCGAGAATTCCCAGGAGAGAATTTGAGATTTCTCCCAGGTACACGCCTCCAGTCCGAGGTTACCGGTCATATGTTTAATCTTGATGTTTTTATAGGGGATTCAGTCGGATTAATCAGTGTACAGCTCTACAGAATAAGGATGTCCCACATTTGTTTCATTAGACAGTCTCAGCTGGGTTGGCTCTAGTGGTGTGTCATTTGTCCTCCGTACCCCTTGGCTAGGCTGGGGAGAAAAAGGGGAATTGGTCAATTAGCCATTCTGCCCCAGAATTTGTCCTCTTTGTCGACTGCAGTCGAAAATGAGTCCATCAGCAAGGCTTCAATGTGATGTTACCATCATTTTAAGGATCTGGCTGTGCTTCTGTTTTGTCAAGGGCACATTTGGTGAGCTAAGCCTGGAGTCAGAGAGTATCAATGAATTGCAGACCCATGCTCAGAAATGAGTAGATGCTGAGTTAAAGAAGAGAAAATGAGCAGAGTTGGTGCAAGGTTTTAACAACTTAGTGGCTTTTAAAACATCATTTAACAAAGAAAAGGGTTTTTAAAGATTATGGGATCCAAGTTTGGAACTCCAGAGTGAGGATCTTACGAGACTTAGTGGTGAAATGAGGTGTTGTTGGTGATCAAACTTGTGGGGTCTTGGCTTGTACCTGCTTATTGTTTCATGAGAGTTGCTCTTTGCTCAGTTTCCAGAACTCGCCGTTCCACTTTTACTCTTTCCCTTGAATGGTCCCATTCTTTAGCCTAGGTAAATTTATCTTTGCAATTGTGTTTAACCCAAATGCCTGTTGTTCATTGGAAGCCCAACATTGGTGTGAATTGATTTTTAAACCTGGCTTGTACCTTTCTGCTGCCTTTTCAGGAGGGTATGAATTGCAGCTAAGCCTTATGAGTTACCTTGCATATAAGCTGAGGGCAGTAGATCTACCTGTGTGAACTTGTGTATCTTAACATGCATCCATTATTCATGCACTAAGATCCATTATTCATATGCTGAGAGTGTGTTGGCTGTCTGAGTATCGGAAAGGGCTGAATGTATGTAACGAGCATGCTGAAGGGCTGCGCTGCTTTTCCTGATAACATCCCAATCCTAATTATGCCTTTCAAATCCAGTCCATCACATTGCAGATAAACAAGTCAGCCCAGACTGCGAGCCTTCTGATCAGTATGAATCAATTAATTGCCAGTCCTACTCATTAAACCATCACGGTAGGAACAGTCTAAATTGTCAAGTTAGATGGACATAGAGTTTTGCAGGTTCCCTTGGATAGGGATGAAATTATACCAGCTTTGATGTTTCATTTCTGTTGATGTGGTATCTTTCCCAGCTTGCTATGATGTTGATAATCAAAGGCTTTTGGAGATCCTGAAGCGTATCACTCGAATGGATATGCTGTCAGGAATGGTGTCTCTCCATTCAGATGAGAGTAGTATGTTCTTTGATTAATGTTGAGTGGACTGACTTTAGTAAATTTTTCAATGTGGCACTGCTACATCTGGGCTTCAGGAAGTTGGTTTGTGGTGGGTCTGGGGCCACCAGATAGGATTTCTGAAGTTATCTGTTATATTGTCAGATTTTGAGTATATACGCTCATTTGGACTTCCTTCCCCCAGACATAGGCCCATTCCCACCACTTCCCCCACCCTTAGGTCTATTCCACCACACCTCCCCACCCTGACTCAAACCACTACCACCATTTAGATTGACACACTCTAGTTTAATTGCCAAAGGTATGGGCGTAGTTTAACCCTCTGAAAAATATCCCATGTCTTGGGGAGAATGTAGCTTTATCCTAGTGGAAGCTTAGCTGCAAGATGGAATGGTGAAGTCTCGGCCTTGTTACAGGGATTTAGAATAGTAGTTGGTGTCTAAGTTTTGATGAGGCCTCTAGCAAGCCCATGTTGTAATCCCTTCTCCGTTCCTGTGAATGGCTGAACCTGGGATATGGTTATCTGTACTCTGCTTGCAATGATAGCTCTGCTTTGTAATCTTCTCCATATAATCATCAGTATCTTGAAGGATTATTTGCATATTTTGCTGATTCCATATTCCTGCCTGCCTCACCTGTGAGACAATATACAATTGCAGTTGCTTAATCGGCATTAAATTACACGTAGAGGGTGAAGTTTCTTGCTGCTGTGGATGATTTCTGACCTAGGCTTTTGGATGGAAGGGATGGGGGTACAGTGGAGACACAATAGCATTATTATTCTAGAACCAATGTTTATTTAGAATATAAAATGAATTCATTGGCAGTTTCACCACACAACACTTGTAAAGGTGGAAAGGTTGCGGCTTGTTGTTGCTGGACTAGTAAACCAGAGATCCAAACTAATGACCCAGCGGTGAGAGTTCAACAGCTGGGAAATTTAAATTCAAAGTTAATTAAATAAATCTGGAATAAAATGCTGGGGTATCAGTAATGGTAATGGTAATGGTGAAATTACCGTGTTGTTGTAAAAGGCCTATCAGGGTCACTGATCTCGCTTAGAGGAAGGAAACCTGCCAGCCTGAACCAGTCTGGACTACTTGTGACTCCAGATCCACACCAATGTGCTTGACCTTCAACCACCCTCTGAAATGACCGAGCAAGCCATTCAACTCGCGGGCAATTAGGGATAGGCAAGAAATGCTGCTGTTACCAGCAACACTAGCATCCTGTGAAATAATGAAGAATAATTGGGAGTTTCACATCTAATGCGATTGGCCATCTGGTCAAACATGTGCCTCCCCTGCCATTGCCCTCGCTTTAGAGCGGGTGCAGTGATGGTTTCCCAAGTTCCTGGAATGATGGGATTGTCCTAGAGTTAGAAATTGAACAAACTTCTTTTGAATGGGATATCTTGTCGCATTTAGATGAATGAGAGGTGATTTAATTGAAATATTTGATCCTAAGGGATGGGCACCAGCTTAGAACCATTCATTCAATTGGCACTGGGTGAAAATCTGAGCTGCTTTTCCAACATCACGATAGGGTACCTGCACCACATGGGCTGCCATTGTTCAAGAAAGCAGCTCACCACCTCCTTAAGGCACAATCAGGGATGAGCAATAACTCTCTTATACATTCATGTGAATTAATGGCTAAGCCAGTGATTATTGTCCAGAGGGCAGTTAAGAGGTCAACCACATACCTGATCTGGCTAACATGTGACTCCAGACCCACAGGAAAGGATAGCAGTTTCCTTCCCTAATAGGCATTAGTGAATCAGATGGATTTTTCTGACAATTGGCAATAATTTTGTGTTTAACAGCAGATTCTTAATTTCAGGTTTACTTTTTACTGAATTCAAATTCCATCATTCGCCATGGTGGGATTCGAACCCAGGTCCCCAGAACATTGCATGGATCTCTGGATTAATAGTCTAGCAATAATATCACTAGGCCTTGGTCTGTCCAAATTAATGCTGACCCAGCCAGTTACTTCCACTTCCCATGGAAAAATAAAGAAACACCAATACTTTTAAGATTAATTACAGCTGACCCATACTTGAAGCTTGATAATGCTAACACAGCACTTGACTCAGGCTCAGTCATTAAGAGTGTGATAGGTGGTTGAGAGTGTTTTGTTTCTTTGAAAGTTGCACAATAATCCATGCTAGTTGTGACTGTGGATTCTGATCACAAGAATCAGTCAGCAGATCCAGGTCTACCACAGGATCAGATCCTTATATTCAGTACAGATCAGCAAGGCTTGACTGGACACTATCTTTTGGGAATGTTGCTGCAGCAAAGACTTGATGGCATGGATGCTGAGTGACCATTTCCCTGGCCCAGAGAGTCTGTTTGATGGAAAAAATGTCTCCCTATTACACAGAGTTGTGAATCTTTGGAGCTATCTTCGTCACACAGCTATGGATACGTGGCCTTTAAGTATATTCATGACTGAGTGATTGATAGAACTTCAGAGACTTAGAAAATTGTGGAATGTGGGAATAGGATGGGATGTGGGATGGGAGTAGGAAATCATCCATGATCCCATCAAACGATGGAGATGCTTAAGGGGCTGAATGGCCTAATCCTGCTCATAGATGTTGTTTTTCTTCCACTTCTTGTGAACTTTGGTTATTCAAAGTCTGTTGTAACACCAGCGAGCTGCCTGACTAAGCTCAGCATGCCCTCTATTAGTCATTTGGTGCCTGGTGGCGCTGGTTGTTCTTTTCCTTACTCTGGTTGAACTTGCACAACATTTTATGGTTGTGATTGCAGATACTAGACACAAGGCCTAGTCAGAAGCTTTATGTTTATGACTGCTTAATCTATCTTCTCACCAATCAGCAGGAAGAGGTCAAGGGCAGGTCACCCGGAAAAAATTCATAAGTACAAGCACAATCTGTATTTATAACATAGTGCGTTTTTAGTGTAGAACAAAGTGTCCCAATGTAAATTTGGGGGTGGTA